GACTGGAGTCGTCGCGAAGAGCCGCTTGAGCTCGTCGAAGGCATGCTGCTCCTCTTCGCCCCAATGCCATGGGTCATTCCCTGTGAGCCGGTCGAGTGGTCGCGAGATCTTAGCGAAGTCCTTAATGAAGCGGCGGTAGAAGTTGGAGAACCCCCGGAACTTCTGGACGTCTTTTTTGTTCCGGGGTACCGGCCACTCATTAATTCCGTTTAGCTTCGCGGGATCCATTGCTACCTCATCGCCACCGAACACATAGCCGACATAGTCGACCTTGGGAACGTCCCATTCGCACTTCTCAGGCTTCAGGAATAGATCGTTGTCCTGAAGGCGACGAAGAACCTCGCGTGTGACTTTTTCGTGCTCCTCCTTGTTGGTAGAGAAGATGAGTATGTCATCAAGGTATACGAGGATCTTGCCACCGACGATGAGATCGTGGAAGATCTCGTTCATCATCGCCTGGAAGGTCGCGGGGGAATTGGTGAGGCCGAAGAACATCACCAAGGGCTCGTACAACCCTCGGTTGGTCACAAAAGCCGCCTTCCATTCGTCACCGGCTTTGATCCGGACGTTGTTGTATCCCCATCGGACATCGAACTTGGTGAAGAGCGTGGCGCCGCGGAGCTTATCTACCATCTCGGCGATCAGCGGCAAAGGGTAGCGGTTTTTGACCGTGATTGCGTTCAATCGGCGGTAGTCCTGCACGGGTCGAAGTGTCCCTTCCTTCTTTTTGATGAAGAAGAAGGGGGATGAAATGGGCGACTTCGACTCCCATATGTAGCCTTTCGCTAGTTGCTCTTTTAGGAACTTGTCTAGTTCCTCCTGCTCGTTGTTCGACAAGGGGTACACTTTCGAGTGGAACGTCGAGTAGCCGGGCACGAGTTCGATCGCGTGATCGTAAGGCTTCCTTTTGGGTAGCCGTTCTGATGCTTCCTTGGAGAAGACATTCAGGAACTCGTGGTACTGTTTAGGTACCGACTCCTCGGCGGTCTTAACGACCTTCTTTCTGATCTCCTTTTCAGCGAACAGCTGGGAGTACGTGTGCCCTGCTGCAACGAACAGCTGAGGAGCGCCGGGAAGCGTGATACCTTGCTCCCAGGCCTCGATCAAATCGGCCTCATCCCACTCTACTTCCGCCGGATCTTCTTCAGGTTCGAAGTCCGGGAGTACCTTACTCCGGCAAGCACCTATGACTGACCGTCTGGACTTCTGCGAGCGTCTGCGCGCCGTGGGCCTAACCCCCGTATCACGCGCAGTCACTGCTTGCTCCATCCGGCCAGTCTTCCTGGCACTGCACGTTTCAGGGCATCGTGATAATTTCAGGATGCCTGACTCCCAATCAATTTCGGGGTTGTGCTCTCGCAGCCAATCCAACCCAACGATCACATCCTCTGGACCTATGTCCGTGACCGTGAACACCGTCTTTTCGACGTGCTCTCCTATCTGCATCTGTAGCACGGCTACCTCCGAGATGCTTCCGTCTTTATTGAGTGTTCCATCGATATTGTACAGCGGAATTGGTTCTTTCAATTTCCGCGTTTGTACTCGATTCTCCGTGATGAAACGCTTGTTGATGAACTTCGTGGTGGCTCCACTGTCCACCATTGCGACTATATCCTTGTGCCGTCTTTCTCCTTTAAGGCGCACCGGGATGTGGAAATGCTGGGACCCATGGTCCAACTCGTACACATTCGCAGTCGCCAATACATTGTACAGATTATTATTACGCGGCCCGACGCGTGCGGCACGAAGCGCGGACCGGATCAAAAAGACTCCTCCTTCATTGCCCGATAGTGCTCGAGCTCCTCGCGCATCGACTTCATCTGTGCTATTAAGTCCGCCAGCTCGGAACTTTCCGATTTCGCTGAAGCGGCGCTTGTACTCGCCGAGGATGAAGCGACGGGGGCGCTTGTCGCCGCCTGGGTGGAACCCGAGACAACCGTAGTCCGCGCGTCGGCGCGTTTTGTGTAAGGTTTATCCTTACAATTAGGGCACTCAAAACGACGGTACCCTTGCTTCCCGCAGCCAAAGCATGTGCCGGGGAAGTCTCCTTTTCCGACGGCCGCATTGATGCTGGCCGAAGCTGCATGTGTCGTAGGTGCACCTCCACGTGCCCCACCGCGACCTCGACCTCTGGCCGAGAAGAAGTTGTTCAACTCGGGCCGACGGGCCCGGCTGATGTCGAGGATCTGCTCGACCTCAGTGGCTCGCTTTTCAGCGGCTCGCCACGTGGTGAAGGTCTCGAGCTCGATCTTGCGATATACGCGGGAGGGGATACCGCTCAGGTACTTGTCGCGTAGTTCCAGGTCCCCATACCCGGAACGGTCTGCCGGACCCTTGAACAGCGCGGAGAACTCCGCCGCAGTGCGTTTTTCGCGGACCGACTTGTCCGCGCAGAGCTTCGCCAGCTCTACCTGGGCTGCTGCCGCATCGTCGAGATTGCCGAAGCGAGCCTTGAAGGCAGCGGTAAAGGCCGCTTCGTTCCTGAAGGGGGTTGTAACCCCTTGCACACCCATCTGCACTGATGCGAGTTGGGCGAAGTAAGGCGTGGCCCAGGCGCGGGCGTCGCCATCGAGCAGGCTTAGCGCAACTTGTACCTTAAGCTCAATGGTCGTCAACGACGTGTTGATCAACCAGTAGATACGAAGTTGCGACAAGAACCTGTCGCATTCGATGACGGTTTTGCCGTCATAGCGGAGGGGGAGGAGGAGCTTCAGGGTCTCCTTGTCAGGGGCGGCTGCAGGGGACGACATTATCGGCGTTGGGGGGGACGGAGGACGTTGCGGGGGCGGAGGCGGCTGTGGTGGCCTTCCGCTGGCCGAACTTCGAGAGGAGCGAGTGCTCGAGCGGCCTCTCGGCGGAGTCGGCGGTGAAGGCGCCAGAGGAAGTTCGGCGGGGGGGTCACGTACGTCAGGGACTGCTGACGCGGGGGCGAACGCTGTCGGCGAGGCGGACCCAACAGAATCCTCGGACTCGGACTCCGAGACTCCTTCTTCACCCTCACTCTCCTCAGGCTCTGGCTCTGGCGCAGGGTCTGGAGGGAGATCTCCTCGCGCTTGATCTGGATCGGTGA